ACATCACCAAAACGTGATTTACACATGGGAAGAGAGGCTAACAGAAAATGGGTGAATATCGAAGTATATTTAGATAAAAGCTCAATGATAAGACCAATAAAATGGTTATTAAAATCTGGTTTTGAGTAGGAGGGTTAAATCAGGTCATTTTTCTTTGAAATATCTGTAGCCTTGCCCAAACCCTGAGTGGCATGGGAGTAACAGGCCCATTCAGCATCTCTTTCCAGAAGCATACTTCTTCCTCCTACCTGTTCTTCTGGTCATGCCTGCTCCCTTCTCTTTACCAAAATCTGAACTCCAAGGCTGTTTCTCCAGCAACTGCTTTGTTTAGCTTGGAAAATAAATCAAACACCATAAGGTGCTTTACTCTGACTTTCAGTATTTAACAACGGTGATTTAATGTTTCAACATCCAAAGTCAAATCTCCTTATGAGATGTTGAAGAGAAAAAGAAAAGGCCAGATAAAATGCTTATTTGAAGATGCCTTCTGTGTGCTTTTTTAGGCAGGCTTGCTCTAGCCTCCTTTACAGAAACTTCCCGGTAGACACTGGAGATGAAAGATGGTTCTTCATTTCCACCCAAAATATAAATCAGGCCGGCATTTTGAAAAAGAGACAGGTTTATTCATCGCTTCAGCGTTGGCTGGCTTTGTTCCCTGTAAAATTTCACTTTTGGTTATTAAAATATTCACTGTAGGAAATAAATTTGTAACCCATTTCTCATATTACCTACACGCAGAAAAACAAAACTTGATATCCCCGGGCTTATTTGCTGAGGGCGCTTCCCATAAAAGCGAGTGAGTGTGCGTGGGGAAATGTGTCTGGTTAACTCCTTTATGGATGAGAGTTAGTCACAATCGCCGCCCCCACTCTCGCCCCCCGCACCTTCCCCACCTCCCGACTTCCCGCCTCGCGAGGGCTGGTGACCTAATAGCATTTTTCTTCGTGCATATTTTGGCGTCGCCCCACGGCCTGGCTGCCTTCGCCTGTCTGAGTCTTTTGAAATTCCTGCATGTTCGCCCCAGATTAAGCCAGTGTGTCTCAGGATGTGTGTTCCGTTTTGTTCTTTCCCCTTAACGCTCCCTGTGCAACGTGTCTGGGGGGAGGAGGGCGGGAAAAGGAGCGGAGGGAGGGCAGGAGCGAGGGGGGGAGGCAGGGAGGGAGGGGCAGAGGCGAGGAGCTGTCCGCCTTGCACGTTTCCAATCGCATTACGTGAACAAATAGCTGAGGGGCGGCCGGGCCAGGACGGCTTGTGTAACTTTGCAAACGTGCCAGAAAGTTTAAAATCTCTCCTCCTTCCTTCCCTCCAGACACTGCCCGCTCGCCGGGACCGCCGCGCCGCTCCCCGTCGCCTTCCAGGCCTGGGAAAGGGGCGACCGCC